TATAAACTAAGGCATTTCAAGAATAGCGAAAAAAAAAAATGTGTGTGGTATCAGAGTATCGGGTTGTAAGGCTATCTATATGCATAATATCGAGTGTCTGTATGTCTGTTCCTGAATGAAAAGTTAAACGTCTTCGATCATACGTTAAAGGAGAAAACAGCCGTGCAGTATGCACGGGCTCTCGCTATTCTTGAATAAAATATAAATTTTTTTTAAAGATGTTACATATTTTCACTAAAATCTCATGTATGCTTCATTTGGCTAAAACATTTCTGCAATGAACATCAAATATACAATAAGAAATACAAAATTGTCGTCATCTTAAAAAAAAAAATTTATATTGAAAAAACAAAATGCCTTTGACAATTCTATTCTTACTGAATCTCCTCAATCATAAATATTTGTTAAGACTTTTTCTTTAACTGCCAGTACTGGTATCAGTATACATTCGAATGGATCTAAAATCTTTCGAAACAACAACCATGGCCATATGCTTTTATTACAAATGAAATAGCAAACATAACTTTATATTGAAAAGTTTTTGATTGTCAAATAACATATGATACAAACGTAATGGACAAATATCGGACCCTATTTCTCTTCGATAGAATGGTACTGACAGAAAACTTTATTGTATTATAATTATTTTTCATTATCTAAACCAACATAAAAACCACGAGAAATCATTTTGTACGGCTGTCGGACATTTTTTTTTTTCGCTATTCTTGAAATGCCTTAGTTTATAAAAATTTCAAATTCGTCGTGCAAGTGTTTCTTTCTTCTTGTGTCACTTTGTTTATAAATATTTAATAAAATTAAGTGATACACAGTTCGAAAGAGGAGGAAGTTTCAACAATAAAACATATCGTTTTAATTTTTGCTGTAAATCCATCAAAAAAAAAAGAAGAAAGATATTAATGATTTAATTTCTCTGACAAAATTATTTATTTGATAATATTTATATAAACTAGAGAAGTCAAATTTCAATGAATTTTAGATAAACATTAATGTATTAAGAACAAGACTAATAATCCATACAGAATTTAATGTTGATAAACAAGCATAACTACGTGGATTATCTTCATATTGATTAATTAATGATTGATCTTTAACTATAGTTATATTTGATTGACGATGAAATTGATTATCATTATTAAATAATGATTTCATATTTGTATTTATAAAATCATAAAATATTCCTTTTGGCTTTATTTTTAAATTAATATCATCATCTATAAAAGAAAAAAAGTGTTTAAGAATATTAAATTTTAAATAAATATAAAATCCTACTTGGACAATATTTAGCAATTGATACATTTGGACATTTATTTGAAGATGAATTTAATGGTGGAATACGTTTTAAATGACATGTTCTTTCTAATAATTCAAGTGTTAAATCACCAACTAAACGTTCTTGAAAATCAAGTGAACAATAAATATTCATATTTGTTGCACATTTTTCAAGAAAAACAACATAAAATTTTCCTGGATCAAGTCGTTGACAAGCAATACGACCTTCTTTTATTCCTAAAATATTATATTTAATTAAAAGAAATAAATAATCAAATATTTGAAAATACCTGTTTCAATTATTTCAATTCGATTTTCAATATTCTGTCCTTTAAATATACAATCGACACGAAATGTTATATTAAATAAAATTTCTGTATCAGTTTCAACATTAATTCGTTTTCCTAATGATTTACCATAAACAACAATTGGTGAACGTGCAATAGTATCCAAAAAAAAAACACCTGTATTAATACAACGACGCATTCCATTTATTTCAATTGAAAATATTAAAAAAAATATTAAGATCATTCGAATCATAGTTATCATTTTTCTTAATATTTTATTGTCTAACTAACACGATTCGATTCTTGAATTAAACTGAATGATATCGTCCGCGGTTAAACTATGTTAGGAAAAGAATTTTCTTGATAGAACGAAAGAAAAAAAAAGCCAAAAGGAATATTTTATTATTTTAT